GAGAAACCCGAATCTTATGTTAGTTTTAAGATGCAATCAATTTTTCATACAAAAATCCACACAAAATTTCATTTTTGTATGAAAGACTTGCCTTTGTGGTACCGTAATGATGTGAAACTTTGAACAGACTATTTTTTTGATTGAAATTCCTTTAAACTTGGTGTGATTATTTATTTTTATAAGAAAATAATATTCACAAGGTTTCACGGTAATTTAAGTTACTGCAACCATACATAGACCATAATTTCAGTTTATTCCCAAAATTTCGGTTCCATGCGGAAAAGTCAGCTTGCGTACGTAAGCCTCTTTATTTTATATTAGGCTTAATTTAATGATATTTTTGGTGATTTGAATCTATCACGTATGAGCCATGCATCATTTCAATGAAAAAAATTTCATTTTTCAAATAAATGATTTCTAAAATATTTTTTAACCATCGTAAGACATAATAGAAATTCAAGATTTAATAATTAAACATTTTTATTTGTCAGCATTTTATTGTGAAAATGTTTTCATTCAAAGAATAATACATCTCCGCTACCACTCTTTTAAAACAATTGATCAAATTTTTTCAGTATTATGTTCTGAATATTAATTGCCAGCAGTTTTAAACTGGCATTGTCCCGTGGGGAAACTAAACGTAATGGGTATAGCTTGACCAGCACAGTTTAGTAAATTTCGAATTCGTTCTGGGGGAGGTAAAACTGCAATCGTTGCTATTGAAGCAAAAACTGCTTCTCTGTACAGAACACCATCAGGTCCACCACTCGCCACAACATTCGGATATACTTTTTTGATAAATTTAATAATATCTCTGATGTCTTTTCTTACGCCACTTATATCACGTTTTTCGAAGTAGTCACTGTCCAAGTTATGTAATGCATCGACGAGAGCTTCTAAAGAGGGAAGAACATACATGATATTTAAATTATCGATCGACCATCACAAAAATTTAGAGAATGCCCTACTCTACTTTCAATCATTTTTCCACACTAGAACAATAAATTATCGATCGAATATAATGAATGAACGCATTATTTGTGTTAGTGAAAAAAAAATGTGAAACTAAAATTATCCGTCTCCCTAATATGGTTTTTATGAGATTTGCTCTCTAATCGCCTTGAAAAATCTTACAATGGTAAAATTAGACCAAAAATTCAATGTAAAAATGTATTATTTACGAAAAAATATTTTGAAAAAAAAGAGCGAAAAATACAAACTCGATCAAAAATGATTTGTAAACTTACGTTGCTCTTCTTTAGTGCCTGCAGCTGTTGCTAAAGCTGCACTTCCAAGAAATATCAAAGCAATTACGAACAACTTCATTTTCAATTCCAGAACTTCAGAGTGATGAAGAAATTAAATCAGACTTTATGAATTGAATTATTTTGCACAATATAAATTAACTAAGGAAGACGATTCCGCCTTTTATACTATTGAATTGCCAAATTTCACAAAAAATACATTTTTATCTCAAATGATAATTTGATGGCGGAAAAATATAGTCTACGAATTGAATAGAACCATAAAAAAATCTCTAAATAAAGATTAGTGGATTGTTTGCGAAAAATCGAAAACAAATCAGAAGTAAAACAAGTAAAATTATATGACTTGCACAATAAATTCATAAAAGTAAGTGAAAAAATTTCTTATCATTGGTCTTGCAAGATTCAAATTTTAGTATTTGGAAAACAATATCTAAATTTGCCATAAGATGAATTTGATAAAATTCCATACACAGATAAAATTTACAGTCGGATAAAAAGAATCCGATACCCGTCTTTAATTGGGATTATTAAAAAACTATCTACGTGTGATCTTTCAGTTCAGATGATAAACATCAAAACATGCCATAATTGCTATCAACACCATTATTTAAGGCAAATAAAAACATTCTATCTCCAAGCAAATTCACATTCGTCGAATCCACAATCTTATTTTGTCGGAAGACAATGGGAATATATTGAGTTCAATTGAAATGAGTAGCATTTATCTTTTCTCGGGATTCCCGAGTCGCAACAGAGTGGAGATTATGTTATCAGATGAAGCTGATAAAGAAATGGTTTTTGCATTCCAAAATGGGATTTTGCATGCCAAAAATGGAATTTTGTATGCTAAAACATCCCCATCGTTGAAAAGCATTTTCCCATTTTGAACAAACATTTCTGTTCGTAAAACCATTTCTGCCCTTTTGTTTCCATTCAGGAAATTCAAAATAATATCAGTCCTTTTGTATGCCGAATCTATCCATACAGCGTCACTCGTTTTTAACCTCGCTAAGGATTTTTTTTTTTTTTGAAATTTAGCTGATATTTTTTGAAAATAGTATTTTCATATTTTTAACATGCGAAATTCCATGTTTAGCTTAGCATGCAAAATCCTATATTTTGGCATGCAAAACCCCATTTTGACAGGCAAAAATGGAGGTCCAAAGCTGATTAACAGTTGATTTAGACCACATATGACATTTTTTAATTTTTTTTTTATTCCATATCATCTATTTAATATCAAACTAATATTGTATTTCTGTTTCAACTTTTCTTCTAAAAATCATTTAGGTATTGCATTGGGTGAGAATAAAAATCTTAATTTTTATTCGTATTTTGGCGATAATACCAACAAAAAGTCGTTTACCAGAGAAAGTGGTATATTGTTACTGAAACAACCAAACAAAATTCGAATCAAAATTGACACAGGTCAGTGTGAAATATCATGGCTCTGATCCAAAAATCAAAAAAAATTTCAAAAAAAAAAACAAAATATTTACAAAAAATATAAAACAGAGACGATTTCTCTGCAGAGCTCTATATATTTCGACGAAATTCGGAACGGTTATCAATAATTTTGGCATTTTACATCGAATTATTGTGAAGAGGAGTAAAATATTAAAAGTTAAAAAAAAATATTTAAAATCATATTAATTTTAATTTTTTTCAACTTTTGATATTTCACTTCTCATTGAGTAGCTCTGCTCATCTGAGCATTCCTCTTCACAATATCTTGCTCTGAGAAACAGCCTCTGATATAAAATATCACCATATTTCGATATAAAATACCAAAAATTATTGACAATTATTCCGAAATTCGTCGAAATATTTATGATTAATTGAAAAAAAGTGAAATATCAATTTTTCGAAAAATTGACCAAAATATGAAAAAAAAAATTTGAAATATTTCCGGTTGGATTTATGAAATTAAAATTAAACGCCTGAAAATATGTTTTTAATGTATCAGAATGTCTATTTTTTCTTATAGTTGGAAACGTTGAAGTTATCATAAACAACGTAGATTCATTCCGGCACAAAATAACCGATGGAAAGAGAGTTCCGAAATACATATCTTTTGGAGGCTGGGACCAAAGGAACGATATTTTCTTAAATTGTCACGTGTGATTTCCAGTTTTAGACAGATTTTTAAGAAAAATACATTCAGACGATTCAATAAAAAATATCGGAAAAATCTCGATTTAATGTTGGTTAAAATATTTAAGGTTTTTCGTAAAACAATTGATGTATTTTACGTTATTTTCAAATTGGAATTATATTTGGTGACTTGAATTATTCATTGTAAAGGCAACACCAAATCGATTTGCTTTAAAGAAAATTTCGGATGTATCTTATAGGAGTCAGTTGTTGCAGAAATGTTTAGATACGCTCCCAACAATGTAGGTACCACAGCGACCGTATCAAAAATAGCTAACAATTACTTACAATTTTGTGTTCATTATTTCAATCGCTTTTTTCCTGCTCTAAGCAAAATATTGACATGCTTTCTCATAAATTATTTTATTTAATATTTTTTTTGTTTTCTATTTTTACTGATCTTGATCATTCTTCGATTAATAAAAACGGCAGAAAAAAAATGTTTCAAATAACATTCAAACTAAAAGCTGCTGAATAAGTCGTGGACTCAACGCCAACTTCATAACGATTGACTGCGATGAATACGTACTGTCACTAGCGTATGTGTATTGTGTATATCAAAATACATATGTTTCCATTGTGTGACAGTGTTTGTCAAATCAGTCTCGCTTATAGTAAAATTTCATTACATGTCATTGTTATTAACTCATTGTTATGATTAAACACTACGCCTAATATTGATAGTAAATTGGAAGAATTGAAATATTTCTCTTGATTGTGAAAGTGGTTT